TAACAGGAAGAGATTACCAGAAAACCCAAGTGCTATTTTGTAAGGAAGGTTTTGTAAGTATTCCTGAGATATTTGACTAAGTTCCTGTAAAGCAGGAGTAATTCTAAGCATTTAATACAAAATACACTCAGCATCTCATGATTATTTCAGCAGGCTGAAAGTCAATTAAAAGTTTCCAGAAGCATGGCTCATTTAACAATGAGTTTATTTTCAGATCAATTCACAAACAAGTTTTTTCCATATTAAAACCATACAAAGCTGAAGGAAGACTAGAATTGTAAAGCTATGATAATCATTAACAAGATGCAGTTTATCTGCCCTTAGTGCTTTTCCTCTTGGTTATATTACTGCAGAGAATTCTGCTCATTTTGAAGACCTCACCTTCATGCCCTATTATAGTCTTTTATAAAAATAATAATAATAATCAGAGCTCAGCTTATGCATGCTTGCCATTGGAGGTTACGTGAGGACACATTCTCCATAATGGCTGCAGGAGACTGGCTCACTCCTACTAATACACTTAAAAGTGATCAAGCTAAAGTCCTTTAAAAGTTCAGCTTTCAGCGAGTTTTTCTTTTTTCTAGCAGGTTCTGGAGAAAAACCTATTATTGCAATATAACCACTGTTATCTATGAATGCAATTTTTCCATTAAGGGAAATCTGCTATATTTGTTAGTTTGCAGTAACTTGAAAGATTTAGTAGATTAAGGCAATTACAGATACCTTAAAGTAATGCAAGGAATTCAAGCCATTCTAAGGAAAATAGCTGCAAGGAAAACCTTCCAGTTTCTTAGCACTCCTCCCCCCAAAAGAAACAAAAAAACCCCATCAACTCAAGAAGCAGCAAAAAGCACAACCAGGAGTAGTTTATCAGTAGCCCCAAGCTGAGTTCTTTCTAAGTACTCTACATTTCTCTCCCTCCTCACCAGTGAAATGAGTGATACTCATCTACAGTTCAGCTAAAATAGAAAGCAGTCAGAACAGACCCAGGTAACCTACTTAGCAAGAGACTGCCAGGGTACAAGTGAAGTTATTTAGCCCCCCTTGTGGCTATGCTCTGAAGTTTAAAATCATCACTGAAGTATGCCACATCCCTCCAGGATTACAAGATACAAGCAAGCCTATTACCTCCCACACTTGCCATTTGACAGTAGAAGTTCTATTTAAAACACAGAGTGTCCTCTACTGACACAAAAAAAGATTAAAAAAAAAATAAAAATGAATACCAGATAAGGAAAATGGAAATTGGCAAAAACATAATTGTTGGCTCTGTAATTAGCTACTGACTTTTTTTGTTGTTGTTTAAATGAGTACACAGACACGGTTAAACCAAACTCATTTGTATCAATAGAAAAAAAAAATATTCTCAAGCATAAAGCCAACGTGAGAATTACCAAGAACACCAAACCAGCATTTTTTCTAAGGCAATCAGCTAACCTGGAGATCACATAACGGCTTTCTACCAGAGATTGTTTACTGTACGCATCTGTGAAAGCAAAGATAGAAGTATAAAGTCTATAGGAATTTCTCCAACTGTACTTTGGAAGAAGCTTGAGAATAAGCATTGCAGCATTCTCTCAAAGATACTAAAAATGACACTGTAAAAAGCATCCTTGGGGGATTTAAATTGCTAAAATTCTTTCTTACGAGAATACAGGAAAGAAATTGTTGTTTACTAGTACTATTAACTCCCTAGATAAGATACTACGCAGGGGGTGCTCTGGAAGTACTGCCTACTGTCTTATTATGTTGGCCTGCGACATCAGAGGCAGATGTTGGTGGTGTGGCAGCAGAGGTTGGACCATCCAACCCATATTCCATTACATTTTGTTGCCATGAGACTGATGGCAGCAGAGGAGCAGTGTGACACAACGGTGCTTGATATGGAAGCGTGTATGAGCAAAGGTGTGTCACTGAATTCCTCTGTATGGAAAAAATGGCACCCACTGACATTCACTGATGCTTGCTGAACATTTATGGAGACCAAATAGTGGATGTGAGTGCAGTGTGGGGTGGGTGGAGCGTTTCAGTAGCAGTGACGTGAAATGAAGCATTTCCAATGAAGTATTCCATAAACAAATCACTGATTTCAAAGAACCGACTCCGAGCAGCCTCATTTATTTATTTTTTTTTTAATATCTCTACCCACCTGATTTGGTAGCAACAGTAATCTAAAGAAATGCTGTAGCCGCATGCTAACCCAACCCTCAGTACTTTCACACAAGCACAAATCACTGTTTGGAAACGGGAGGGCAAAATGGAAATAGATGTTGCCAGTCATCTTCTAGCTGCCCTATCTCACCTTTGATTGGATCAACTCTCCTCAAATAGGGCAATCCAGGATTATTAAGTGGCCTACCAGAGTGGAAAAAAAAATCCACAACTACGTACACAAGGTATTTTAAGACTGTTACATACACGCAATTTCCCACCTTTTTCAGAATAGATGAAAACACATTGCACGAACAAAAATCATACATATTTATAAAAATACCATGTCTAGTGATGTTATATTTTACAATACCTTTACTTATTCCTTGAAGTATAGATAAAATTAAATGCCCTTTACTGGGCATTGCCCTTTACTGAATTTGCAAAGACTTGCAAGTTTAAGCTTATTGTACAAAAAAAAAAAAAAAAAAAAAAGGGAATTTTCTTAAAATTTACTCCTTAAAGCACAGTCTTTAAAATTATTACATTATTATCATTTCCAAACACTAAGTCATCACTCTAGACCAAAATACCTTCATTTCCCAGATACCAGAATCAGTGACTGCTAATGGAGAATTGGAAGGAATGCATGGGAGGCCCCGATCTCTTTCTCTTTTCAATATAACCTTATTCTTTCCATAACACCCACCAGCACTATGCTGAATCCACCCCTTACCAACTCAAACAGCAGCCACAGTGCCTCATCCTGCCTCTTCTCTTTGCAAGTGACAGGTGGTCAACAGAGCATGATAAAAACATACCCAGTCCATTATTAACCTACTGTTCTCCTACACAGTAGTGGTCTGTTTTCTGCCACCTCTGCATTAATTGGGGGTAAGTTATGCTTTTCAATGGCTGAGGTTCAACTAGCCAAAAAGTAAGCTATTCTTTAGTCTATTGGAAGACAGCACACCTACTGTGTGCCACAGAAATCTTTTCTGAAGTTTTATAAGTAAGAACGTCCCTCCCTGTTGGACATAAATATCACTTTCATTCAGGTTCAGAATAATTCTTCCATCGTCTGTCTTCGGAATTTAATTTGAAGAGCAACAGTGGTGGTGAAGTAACTGCACATACAGGCATCCATAGTTAAGATCAGTTTGTAGCAAGATGATCAGTCTCCAATTAATTTGCTATTATTTTAATTAATCTGCATTCCTTCCTGTTGCAACTCTTGGCAAGAAAAAAAAAAAAGTAGAAAGCGTAGAAAGCACAGAAAAAATTATTGCAATTTCAAGGACACACAAGGCTTTACTCTGATCTAAATTAAGAGTGTCACAAGACCGAGAATCTTTGGAACCAAAACAGATGGAAAAACCATTTAAATATGTAAATACCTCCCGGTCTGGCTTGCAACTATGCATCTGTGTTGTCATGCATCTAACCATTTTCAATCCGTTCATTTTAAGGCCACTGAATCCATCCAAGAAAATACTATTACTACCTGCAGCTGAAAATACTATATAGAACTGATTATATTTTCCTAGGCACGTTTGGAGTTAATTTTAAGTAGGATAAATCCCAACAAGAGTGCCATTTCCGTCACACCAGCAGGTGCCCTAAGTGATACAGAAATATCAGGTTGGCACTGGAGGTTACAGAACTTGAAAAAGTAACAGTGGTGACGGAGGTACATTGTATTCCACTTTCCGGAACCTTTTTAATATGAGACTGTTGGTAGGGTTGAGATATTGAGCTACTGCTCTAACAGCTCTTAGCTGCCTTCCACCAGGAGATTGACAATTATTTTAATGGCATTTTAAAAATCAGGAACAGCGTATTTCAGTTAATTTCTGTCTACTTAAAAAGTAAACGTTTCCTTAAGTATCAAAGGCGCTAGAAAATATGATCTCGATGGCAAAATGAGCCATGAGAAAAGCCTACAGCAAGGTGGACTTCACTCATTCTTTAGTCCTAGACAGCGATGAGACAAGTAAAAGAAGAATGAAAAACGAAGCTAGGCTTGGTCTTCCACCAAGAACAATGCAGATGAGAAGCAATCCTGAAACAGTTACATCCATTTATTACACTTAGAGCTGCGTTAGACTTAAGGCAAACGAGTTTACACCATTCCTCTGACAGCTGCTGCTACCCTGCTCCGGAGCAGCGGTTCGTCATTCTGTTCGTATCCTTCCCTTCCTGGCAGGAAAGCTCCGTGTCCCCCAGCCCCCTGCTTACCACCCGCTCCCCGTGCCGCGGCCAGTGCAGCCACGGTGCCCGTCCCCCTCCCACTCTCCCCCCCCCCCCCCCCCCCCGGCTCCACCGCTGGCCCGCCCGTCCCCGCCCGCACAGCCCGAGGCGGCGGCCACGACGGAGGGAAGGAGGGGCGGGAGCGGGCCGGGACGGGCCGAGCCGAGCGGCGGCTCCCGCCGGCAGAGGGAGCCGGCCCAGCGCCGCCCGCCTCGCCGCTCTCACCCGGCACTGGCCGTCCTGGAAGACGCGCGGGTCCAGGTTGCAGGCGATGGTGGCGGTGGGCAGATCCTGCAGCACCACCGCCTCCATGTCGCCGCCGGCGAAGCTCCAGTCCGGTTCGGCCTCGGGCGGCGGCAGCACCTCCGCCTCCTCTTCCTCCTCCCTCGTTTCCCCGAGCGGCGGCTCCTCCCGGCCTGTCGGGCCCCTCCCGCCGCCGCTGCCGCTCTCCATGGCCGGGGGCGAGCGGAGCCCCCGCGGGGCGGGGCCCGGCGGCGGCTGAGGCAGCCTCGAGCGCCTCGCGCCGGCAGCCGTTCCCCCCACCTTCGCGTTTCTTAACCCCTGCGCGCGATTAACCGTCTCCTTCCTGCTCTTCCTGCTCCCCGCGCGCACGGCACACGGCACCGCCTGAGCCAATAGGACGCGGCGCCGCAGCAACAGGTGGCCTGCACAAGGCGGGCGCCGCTGCCGCCATCTTGAGTGAGGGCAGGGGGCGCGCTTCTTTCTCCCAGCCGTGTGTGTGAGGGACTCTGCGTGTCTTGCGGCGTGGGGCAGCTGCGCGCACAGGGGTGGGTGGTCAGAGCATTAGGGGTGGTATGGAGCGTCGTGTTTGTGACCTAGCGTTAGAATCACGGAAACATTAAGGTTGGAAAAGACCACTAAGTTTATCTAGTCTAACCGTCAGCCCTCCCCCCCCACGCCCACTGCCCACGTCCCTCAGTGCCACATCCACACGGCTCCTGAACACCTCAGGGACGGTGACTGCACCACCTCCCTGGGCAGCCTGTGCCACTGCAGCACTGCTCTTTCCTAGAACATATTCTTCCTAACATCCAATCTGACTCTCAGGTGGCTGTGGAGAGCCATGATACCTCCCTTGATCCTCCTCCAGACTGAACAATCCCAGTTTCCCCATCTGCTCCCCGTCAAACTTGTGCTCTAGACCCCTCACAGTTTAATTGCCCTTCTTTGGACACACTCCATAGCCTCAACGTCTTCATTGTAATGAGGGGCCCAAAACTGAACGCAGTACTTAAATCCATAGGCTGGGGGAAATTGCAAGCACCCCAGGGCAAAGCTGACTTGATGTAGAGGGCAGGGAATATTAGGCAACAGTCAGCCAAAAGTCACCACTGTGTGCCTCATAGTTCTCTCACTTGCCTGAAGGACAAGCTGTCTGGCCCTTGGTGTGCTGCAAACTGTTCCCAGAACAGGCAGAAGAAAGGAAGCTGAGGGAGGAAAAAAGAAAGCTGTAGCAGTATTTGGAGAGTTAAGCAGTGTCTGTGTCTCCTTACTTTGGACCTGCAGGAGGAATTTTCTTAAAACTATTCTCTTTTTTTCTGGTGCCAGAAATCTCTTAAAAGACAACTGCACCTTTCCTTGCGTCATATTTCTACAGAGAAAAACAGTTTACCTCATGCTGAACTGCTTTTTCTAACATAGCTGACCTAGACAAATGCTTTTCTTACATATACATATGTATGTATATATAAACCCTATATATAGGCAAAGCAACATCAGAAAAAAACTAATAACTTTGATAGCTGGATATTTTGTGCTGCCTACTGATTTGCACTGTACAAGGTTTACAGCAGTGACAATGGCCCTGCTACTTGAAATATCACAGTTATCTATCTTCTGTCTTTACTTATCACCACTGGCCTTTTTTTCCCCCAACACATCAAAGACTTTACACTGATGAATTACTAGTCTCAATTAATTTTAATGACATCTTGCAGAACACAAGGCAAAACATGTTTGTTTGCTTTCTTTCAGACATATGACCTAATCTTTGGGCAGTCCTGTGTGGAACCCAGAGCCAGACTTGATCCGTACGGGTCCCTTCCAAATGGAGGTATTCTATGATTCTATGATTCTCTGTCCTCTTTATTACAGTTGTTTTCAGACTTTGTACTCTGTCTGCCTTGAACCATTTGAGTCTTCCTCAGAGCTGTCATCATAGATAAATTATATATTCACGACTGCTGTAGGTGACATGTATATTCTCATATCGGTTTTTACAATAAAATCAGACAAATGGTATCTTACTAAAAGAAAGAAGTACATATATGAACTTGCTGAAACTTTTTAGTGCTACATTTTTTCAACATCTAGAGAACCTAATGCCATGTCAATCTTATTCTTTGCTCTCACAGTTGCTTCCTGACTTGAGTGGTGACACTTGCAATTTTGGGGATGAGCTGTCTGTATTCTCTACACCAAGAATTCTGCACCTCTACAGAAACCTCACCAGAGGAACCTGAATGGAAATCTGTTGTTACTCTTACTTAAAAACTTTCAGAGAAAAAGCAAAACATGGCAGCAGTAAATTTCTATGATTGCCATCTACCATCTTACTATTATAAAAGCCCTTGAAAAACATTAATCTGGCCTCTGCAAGTCTAATGGCATAAGCCATCTCCACTTGGTCATGGTAACCAGGTGTCAGATTAATGGATGAAAATAAGTTCTTAATGCTATTTGTATCATAACATTACCCAAAGCTTAAATGAGATCAGTATCATATTATACCAAGCACTGTAATACTTCATGTCAAAGGATCTGTCTGCCCAAGAACTGTAAAGTTCAGACAACTCAGAGAAAGAAAGCATTACTGACATTCTAGAAATATAGTGAACAACACCAATATGAAATAAACACTCTCACCACTACCACTCCCTGCTTTATTCAATCATGGATTTCAGAAGGAAAATTAAGCCGAAATTTTCCTAATGTAAAGGTTTCAGGTCAGATTCCTCCTCTCTTTTTTTAATGTATGAATGGAATGGAATGCAAGCTATGCTTTTGCCTGAAAGAGTTGGTAAGCCAAGAGAAACGACAACATTACCACAGTGCTCAGCCTTGAGAATGGAATGCATATTTAATGTGGATGAGAGTAATTGACGATAACGATTTCTCTGAACTCAGAAAAAAAGCGTTCATGGAATAAATCGTTAAATGCGCACCCACTGCCGTTCAAATGTTTTAAACAACGCACACTACCATCTAGTGGCAGAAAGAAAGCAAGAAAGCTTCTCAAAAGGGGTACTTAACATGTTACACGTATCTTCACACAATGCTCACTTCTTAACTGAAAAGCAGATATCTAACAAAAAAATAAAAATAAAAATACAAGACTATATATAACTTCATTACAATAAAATGGAATATATTTGTAGAAAGATCTTGTGTCCCCGTGGGTGACTTTGCTTCCTGGACAGTCATGTAAACCACGAGTTTACTCAATATTCTTCAAAATAGATTTTCAGTGCACCTATTTAGTGGCTGCACACAAGCAGGCATAGTAAGCTGTTCAAACACATGGCACTGATGTCGGTGACAGTACTTCAGAAGACTTAGTTTTATTTTTCCTCAGGAGAAGCCTATTCACTCGATGATACTGTAGTCATTCGTTCACTGTATGTGCATATCTAGTACATGCATATGTAATCAAGATTATTTTTGGATATTGATAACACAGCTTTTTTCTCATGCGATACGATAATTTGCACCACAAGTACAAAAGCGCGTATCCTCAGTTACCTGCTTACGTTGACACTTGTACTGTTATTTGCTTGTATTTGTAAATCGTGGCTTTTTAAGCATTATCCAGATAACCAGACTTAGAATAACGAACATCCAATCTGCTTGTAGACTTCAAAGCTCAAATAAACCCAATCATCTATTTGAATTGAAAATATAGTCAAAAGAACCTGATCCATATTCATACTTTCCTCACAATCAGGGATGACACACTGTATGGTATGCTATTTTAGATAGTAATCTCCCTTGTTAGATCGTATGAACTTCATAAGAGCCCAGTGATCCAACTGGCTTGTGAGGGTTTTCTTTATTAACAATGTCAGAGGAAGAAATTCTCAAACACTCATACCTTAAGTATGCCGGTCACTTTTCTGTCAGTTTGCTTCAAATCCAGTTATTTTGGCAGAATGGAAAAGCCCATTACTGTTTTCTCCCCAAATCAAGGAAATCCAAGTGTTCAAAGAACTTTGCCTCTGTTATTTCCTACAACTATCTTGGAGTCCATGTTCTTTAGATTTCTATAGAATCTACCCCAGTGAAGACTTCAGTTTACCTCTTTCAAGTGCTTTTTATCTGCTAAGCAGCCCCTCTCAGTTACTTTATCACAGATAGACATGTTCCCCTTGAAACAGCCTCCCACAGACCGAGTGAGGTATGGGTCTCATTAAGACAAACCAGATATCTTAAAGTGATCATATAAAGCATAAAGAACATCATTGCTTTTACTTTAAATCCAGCTTGAGCAATCTATATGCCCAAAGAGAAAGTAAGTGTAAAGAAAATCCCTAATCTCATATAACAATTTGTTCTGATATTAAATGCTGTTAGAGGTATGTTTAATTTCTAACTTAACTTTGCCTGATGCTCTCTCACATACATTTGTTCTTGTGACGTTTTTCTTTGCTGTTATAAAATACTCTCCTAGTATTTGGTGTTTTATATTAGGGTCCCTGCTCACTATTCTTGCTCAGGTAAGCAGATCCAGTCCTACAGATCTCTCAAGATATAGCATGTTTTCCTCTTGGAGCAGTTGAAAGTAGTCTCACCCTTGACACATTCTTTTTCCTCAGCACATTTTCTTTCCTTCCCTTGACTTGCTCCAGGCACCCAGGCATCTCCTTCTCTGTGCACCATCATCCCCAAAGTTCTGCTTGCTGTTGCTGCTGCTTGCCAAGCTCCTGCTGACACCATACAGTACTGTGTCCACATGACTGCCTGCAGTTCAACTCCTGGGCACCACAGCCACTAAGCCTCAGTAACCAGGTGCTCTGAACATTCATATTCCACTTAGGTATCCTTCCCCAGGCCTTTCCACGGCAATCTTGCATCTTGCAACATCACTAGACACGGTCTGATTTATTGTTGACTGAGATAAATTGCTTTAGATCATTTTTCTAATTGTTATTTGGTTTTTGTAGCCAACAGTATAGAAAGAATTGCTGTGGCCTGGATCATATCAGCCATCAACGTGAGCTATTTCCAGCTGCATTGACTGAAAATATGATTCAGGCTGTCATAGCAAAACATCTTTAACACAGAACTTAATGAGTCATTTCTGACAGCCGTTGTGTTCACTGCATTCACCAGAAGATATTAAGCACCAGGGGAGGTAACAACACACTATCTGTTGTTACTTTACTTTGTGCAGACTGATTGTCTTTGTCTTGAAACCATAGTGATGAGAAGAAGTAAGCAAGGAGACCATGCCCTCCTTGTCCCATGTTGCATAATATTTGTGTGGAAGGCCCTGAAGGAGAGACAATTATCTGGAGTGTTTTTCAAAACTGATGCTATTTGGAAGAGTAGGAAATGTCCTGGGGCAGAGAAGCAACATACAAATAAAAGGCTGTTAAATAATAAATAGTTGCAGTGAAGCTGAGGTGTCTTTACCTTGCTGTTTGTGGGAGGCAAAGAACAAGCCTGAGGTGCAGAAGGTAAGGTTTGCTCAGGAGTCTTTGACGCAGCAGCTAATGTACAAAGCCCACGTAACTGATTCAGACCAGTTGCTGTGTTGAATGCCTGTCAGCACAATCTCTTCTTTTTCACGCTTATCTCCCTCTCCTGCCCTGGTTCGCTGCACTCGCTTTGTGCCACCCATCCTTGATTAGAAGGCAAGGTGCCATGTTTGTGCTGTGCCCAGCACAATGGGGCTCCCAAGGTCGCTGCCACCTTTGGGTGCACCCTGGATCTAACAATGGTGTGCTCCTCATTAAACCAGCATAGCAGGTCACCCTGTACCTCTTTCTGATTTTCAGACTGTGCTCCGGTAAGTCATCTCCTAAATTAGGGAGAAAAGAGTAATACATTGTAGAGGTAAATGAGTCATTTATTTCAGGAGCAATTGGTAATAAGAAGTCTGGTTACTGATTTACTGCAGAACTAGTTTACAAGTGCTGTAGAACAAATAGGTTTTGCAAGAAGGCACATCTGAAAAGGAACAAAAAGTATAATGCAATAACAACAAAAACTGTGTCAAAGCTTTCCGTAGAAACAGTAAGGTTTGTTCCTAATTCCAGGGGGAAAAAAAAAGAGAAAATGAGAAAAGAAAAAGAAAGAAGAAAGGAAAAAAGAAGGAAGAAAATATTAAAAAGAAGAAGAAAAAAAGGAAAAAAAAAAAAAAACAACAACGCAAAGGCAAAGAAAATGAGAAAAGAAAAAGGAAAAGGAAGAAGGAAAAGGAGGTAAATTGTGGAAAAAACCCACATACAAATAAAATGAGTATTAGTGAAAAAAGGACTGGGGCTCATACAGAACAAACTGTAATTCTCCCCCAGGGCAGACCATGAATGCCTTTTTCTAAAATTTCTACTCTTTCTCACTGCTTTTAGGGTATTACATTCCAAAACTGTCTTCATAGCTGCAGAGACACCATGGGAATTCCAAACTGGGATGAAACAGAAAAATCATGGAATCACAGAGCAGCCTGGGTTGGAAAGGTCCACAAAGATTATCTAGTTTCAACTCCCCTGCTATGTGCAGGGTTGCCAGCCACCAGACCAGGCTGCCCAGAGCCACATCTGGAGAAGTAGGACACAAGAAACCTTTTGGAGATCACCTGCTCTTCTCACTACAGGGCTGAAAAATCATGGAATTCTGTATTGATTTTATGAGAAGTAATTAGTTAGAGCGTATAAAAATATTTCTGAAAATTCTTCTGAAGGGAAAGCTGTAAATTATATTATAGAGAGCTACATATGGCTGTGATGTGTTTCTCCAATGCACTGAATAATTTAACAGTAACAGTAAATCTGAAATTCCCATACGTTGACCATGATACATGTATTTCTGAATTGCACATGTCACATACTCTTATATCAGCTAGGTAATAAATATTTTTATGAGCATTTTGTAATATTATATGTTTATTCCCAAATCTATAAATACTTTAAAACCTTTAGTAATTTTAAAAGTTTTCTGAGATCTGCAAAGAAGAAATCTATTAAAGACAGAAACTATACAGAAAGTGATCTTATTTACCATGGGGTTTGTGGGGAGTGTGGAACTGTTCAGAGCTACGAAAGATAAACCAAAATTTAAAACATAAGAAAGAGCATGACGAGATCAAATGAACTGTGATTAGGGGATGTATTTTAGGAAATTATTTCAAGATGCTACATACATGATAAAATAGGGAGTAAATAGATAATAAATAAAAGGTTAATATAGTAGGAATGAGAATAACAGAGGAGTTCAAGAAATTTTGGATGTGATCTCTCTTCCAGTGAGATCCAGAAGAAGCTCTGAGTTATTTCCAGGTCCCATAGGAAAATATTCTGATGAGTCTAATTGGAACTTCAAGTGCATTTTCATAAACTGGATCAATGGGAGAAAAGTAGCATTTGTAACAGAGAACATAGTAGTACCATCTGTAGCTCATTCATTGAATTTTGGGCATCAGTATGTCCCGGGTGCTCAGTGAAACAAATAAGGGCATTTTCTTTCCCAAATAACTCATATTTAAGAATGAGTTTCCAGATGCCTTCAGCAGAAGAAATTCAGCTGAAGCTGGAACAGTTTATTTCCAAAATCTCACACCCCAAATTCGATGCCACAGTATGTGTCAGAAACAGAGGAAGGAACGATGAGGATGCCAATAATGAAATCACAGTTACTTAATAAGACCCAGATCCTTGCAAAGACTCTTAGCTTTAAACATATCAGTAATCCTTTTGAATCACCTATAAGTCGTGATGGTCCTTTAAATAGCGGCGTGTGCACGTCCTAAGCAACTGTACAAGAGTGACAGCATGGGCATGTCTGAAAGGCATTGGAAAGTGGGGATGGAGGAGGAGTTCAGTGAAATACCTTTGGCTGGGGTTTCCCAAGCAGAGTCACAGCATGGGCAGGTGCCACAAAGTAGCTTCTGCCCCCACACACATACAGATCCCGCTCGGTGCCCCGCAGGCAGCTAAGCAGCTGGGAGAGAGCCGATCACCCTAAGCTGCTTAGTGCCGGGCAGCTCAGAGCACTAAATACAGATGGCACCCCCAGCACACCACACCACTGCCATTTTCAGGGGTCTCTCCTACTCTTAATTTGGCTTGAGAGGATGGGGCATCTTGCCAAGCACAAAGCAGCAGAATGACATGCTGACCTCTGGGCAGGCATTTAAGGAGCCAGGGGCAGAAAGAAAAGAGGTATCTGAATTATGATTGTGCTGAAAAATCACAGATCTCCAATATATATTTCCCCATTTGTAGCTTTATCTTTTTCATAATTTCAATAAAATATTTTTTTTTTTTTCCATCACAAAGGGCAAGACAGCTGTATTCATATACAGAATCACAGAATCACTAAGGTTGGAAAATAGCTCTAAGATGACCTGGTCCAACCACCAGCCTACCCCCATCATACCCACTGCCCTCGTCCCTCAGAGCCACATTCACGCAGCTCTTGAACGCCTCTGGGGATGGTGACTCCATCACCTCTCTGGGCAGCCTGTGCCACTGCCTTGTCGCTCTTTCCAAGAAGAAATTTTTCATAATATCCAACCTAAATATATAAAAATACTGTATTACACCACAAATAATTTGTGGGAATTTCAGCAAAGCCACAAGCTGCAATGAAAATAACACACTGTGGGGAGAAACTAAGGAATCTTCAGTCCACATGTTGCTCACTGATCACCAAACTTCAGTCTTGATGGACATCACCTGGGGATTAATGGCACATAAGTCTAGGTGGGTGCAGCAGAGAGATCTTGCCATGCACCAGTCACCCCTAACTTCTCAGCAGTCAGTGCAGAGAAATGGACTTTAATGCCATGGCCAAACAGCCTATTTCAGACTTACAGCTGGGGACAAGATGTCATTGCACTAGATCTCTGCTGGACTCTTGGGCTTGCAGACTTGGAGGTTGTCCACACTGACCATGATGAATGTCTCACTGAATCACAGAATTACAGGATTATAAGGGTTGGAAGGGACCTCTGGAGATCATCTAGTCCAACCCCCTGCTGAAGAATGTTCCCTACAGTAGATTGCACAGGAGAGTGTCCAGGCAAATCTTGAATGTCGTCAGAGAAGGAGACTCCACAGCCTGTCTGCTCACTTCTACTGACCACTGAATTCACCGTTTGTCCTCTTCTACTCTGCACTTCTGGGGCCCCATCTGGAATACTGCATCCAGGCCTGGGGCCTCTGGCACAAAAATGACATGAAGCTGTTGGAGTGGATCCAAAGTAGGGCATGAAGATGGTCAGAAGGCTGGAGCACCTCTACTGTGAGGAAGGTCTGAGAGAGCTGGGCTTGTTCGTCTGGCTGGAAAAGAGAAGGCTCCAGGGAGACCTCATTGCAGCCTTCCAGTACTTGAAGGAAGATTATTAACAGAAGGCAGACAGTCTTTTTACATGATCTGGTAGTGATTGGACAAGGGGGAATGGCTTTAAACTAAAAGAAGGGAAATTTAGGTTAGATGTTAGAAGGAAATTATTTCCTCAGAGGGTGGTGAGGCGCTGGCACAGCTGCCCAGAGAAGCTGTGGTGCCCCATCCCTGGAGATGCTCAAGGCCAGGTTGGATGGGGCCCTGGGCAGCTTGAGCTGGTGGGGGGCAGCCCTGCCCATGGCAGGGGTTGGAACTAAATGATCTTTAATATTGCTTCCAACCCAATCCATTCTATGGTTCTATAAAACGTAAGTGGCATTTTTTCCTTATCTTAGGATGCAAAATGATAAGTGCATGATTCCCCATGCAGTGAAGGGAGGAAAGGAAGTGACAATAATTCAGGCGAATGCAGCGTAATTGATAGGACCTCAGGGTGCAGCATGCTTCCAGCAGGCTGTGAGGGGATCGCCATGCTGCCCACTAATGTCGAACATATGTGATATTTAATTACCTGCGCTCAGCTTCTAAATGAAGAAGGTGTGCAGTAATCCTTCCCAAAGCTGAACTAGGGAAATAATATTTATTAGCTGAGGGCCTGTGTTAGAAACAGATGGGATGTAAAGAGCTTGAAGACAGTGTAAAAGAGCACCAAGTGGGAGAGATTAATTGTTAAGTAATTGCCCAGTAATTGAGAGAAGAGTGTTGAGCAGAGTGGGCTGCTAAAGCAGGCAGCATGGACCCAATCACATGGCATTGCCAGGTCCTAACTCCACCAAAATGAAAAAAGCATCTGTGTGTATACCTGTGGAAACACACAAAGGATGGCAGTGCTCATGGCTTGCCTACACTGCTGCCTCCAGCTCTGCTCTGTCTTATGTGTAAAATGCTGTACATGGGGTGCAACCTTTGGGCCACCTGTTATGATCCCTTCAGCAAGACCTGAGATGAGTGAACTAGCCCTATCTGTGTAGAAATAGAGGTGACTGAGATGTGTCAGCCTACTGATATTAGAACCCATAAGAGAAGTGAAATAATTGCTTAATTATGGGTCCAACTACAAGACTGCTATTGCCAAATGCTAAACCCATCATTGCCAAGTGTCCAGAAGCATCTCTGATGACCACAGCTACCCAGCAGGTCAGGCTGCATCTCCCTGTTCTTCTGCCTCACTAGCAAAGCAACTCCAGGCAAGCACAACTTCTGTGGAAAGTGTCTGTCAGATTATTATCAGAGTGGGTATTTGTCTGACTGAATTATTTATTTTTCACTGTTGCCTGTCTCCTGTTGGCTGAACTTTCTCTGTTTCCATCCACTCAAAAATCTATCTTCAGCCCACTCTTTCCACATCCAAACATACAAAGTGGTTTTATATACATACACATGCATCACAGTGCTGAACTGTGTGCTTTTTCTAACTTCTGCTTCCCCTTGTCAGCTCACTTTTCCATCCACTTCCCCCTCTGCACCTTAGAAAACTAGAAACTACTTTCTGTTAGCAGGGGACAAATAGGGATGGTGTGTGGCATGGCTTTGGGATGGCAATGGGGTTTGGGTCTCCATCATTTGACTCTGTGATGCCTCCACAGTCTGGATATCCATCACCCAACTCAATGATGCCATTGGGGTTTGGATCTCAGGCATCACTGGGATCTGGATCTCCAGCATCTGACTGTGATGCCACTGGGCTGCAGATCTGTCACCCAAATCTGTGCTGCCACTGGAGCCTGGTTCTCCATCACGAAAATCTGGGGTTGGGACCAGATGATCTTTAAGGTCCCTTCCAAGCAAAGCCATTCTATGACCTGTGAAATAGCGAATGCTTCTCTACCATCAGCACCACTAGACTTGAGGGAGTGTGGTTGGAGCAGGCTGCACCTCCTACTAAATGATTTCCTCTTGCCTACAAGCAAAATCTAGTGAAGATGGTTCTCACACCAGAACCCACCGATCCTCATTTTTATGCAAAGTACTTCCATAAACGAGAGAAATTATCAAGCGTGAAAGTTGGAAGAGAAGGCAGCCTGGGGGATGAACCTGAACCCACAGCCACCTTCCCCAAACCCAAGCTTCTGTAAGGCTTCGTGCTGGTACCACGGGACAGAAGCCCGGGGGGTAGAAATGGGGTCGGGGAGGGGAAGCGAGCTCGGGCTTTCCCCGGGACGAACGATTTACCGGGGCAGGTTGGCTGCAGAGGGAGAGGACCCGTCGGGGCAGCAGGGAGGAGGAGGAGCACGGCACCTGCCTCCCCCTCGCCGCCCTCCCTGCCTCCGCCCGCAGCGCAGGCGCGGCCGTTCCCCCTCTGCCCGTAGGTGTCCAGCACTGATCCCGGTACGGTGCTTGCGGTTGCGTTCGTGTCGGCGGCGCCCCGGGGAGGCGGTATGGCGGAGAGCCCGGGTCAGCCGGTAGGGAGCGACGAGCCGCGGGGAGCGGGCGAAGAAGAAGGCGCGGAGGCAGTGGGGAAGCCGCAGACCGTGCTGTGCCCCGATGGGGGAGAGGAACCCACCGATGAGTCCTCCGACGGCGGAGGGGGTGCCAGTGGGCAAGAGGAGGCCGCCGTGCTCAACGAGGTGCCCGGCGAAGAGGGTGGTGGAGAGCCCGGAGGGGTAGCGGAAAGCCAAGGAGCGGGGCAACAGAAGGAGGCAGAGTTGTCGAGACCCGATGGAGACGGTGCGGCTCTGGAGGGAAGGGAACCGGCAGCGGCCGCGGGAGTGGAGTCCGCGCCGGCGGGGGTAGAGCCAGAGCAGGCGGCGGGGAAAGTGGCTCTGGTGGGAACAGAGCCCGAAGAAGCGGCGGTGGCCCCGGCGGTAGCAGAGCCCGAAGAAGTGATAGTGACAGCCCCATCGGGGTCGGACCCCGAGGATGTGGTACAGGAGGTGAAGGCGGTGGGAGCAGAACCCGAAGAGGCTGCCCCGTCCGGGACGGTTCCTGAGGATGCAGTGAGAGAGGAAGCCCCGTCCGGTACGGTCCCCGAGGAGGCAGCGAGAGAAGAAGCTTCGTCGGGACCAAGCCCCGAGGAGGTAGTGAGAGATGAAACCCCGTCCGAGACGGACGCCGAGAAGGCTACGAGAGAGGAAGCCCCGTCGGGGCCAAGCCCCGAGGAAGCTATGAGAGAGGAAGCCCCACTGGGGACGGAACCCGAGGAGGCTATGAGTGAGGAAGCTCCGTCGGGGACGGAGCCCGAAGAGGTGATGCAAGAAGCCCAGGTTGGGACAGACCCCGAGGACGCGGTGCAGGAAGAAGCCCCGTCGGTGCCAAGCCCCGAGGAAGAAGCGGTGATAGAGGAAGCCCCGTCGGGGGCAGAACTTGAGAAGGAGGAGGAAGAGGCCCCAGCTGGAGACGAAGAGGCCACCCAGCGCCCCGGGGTTGCAGAGGACGCGGTGCCGGCTGCAGGGGAGACCGATGGCGGCCGGCAGTCGCCGGCAGGCCCCGAAGGGGAGGACGGAGCCGAGGTCCTGCCGGGGGCTGAGCGAAGAGCCGGAACCGGGGAGGCGGCGGAGGCCGGAGAGGAGAACGCTGCCTCGGGGGGAGGAGGCGCGGCGGCGGCGGGGCGGCCCGGAGGGTGGCCGGGCACCGAGGGCGGCGAGTGGGAGTCGGCTGGCCTGAGCCTGAACGGGGTGCAGGGCCGGGCGGAGGATGAGGAGGACGAGACGGGCTCGCCGACCGCGCTGGAGGATGAGGAGAAGCAGGAGTACGACATCTCTCTCTTCGTCAAGGTAGGGTGGGGGAAGGCCGGGTTCGGGAGCCCCGGGGCAGCCTTTCAGATGGGCGGTATTTAAATCTAGCAGTCAAAGCCCTGACCTGGCTAAAGGGATTTGGTTATTAGCACCTCATGTAAACCTGCCTCATTTCGGGTTTCCCTGGCTTTAAATGGAATGCATACGTATGGCTCTCGGTTCTGGTTGACTCAGATACACTGTGGGGCTGGGACCCAGGGCATGGCTGTGAATGAATTGTGCGGCTTCTGTTTCAGATTGCTGGCTATGACTTGTGATTAAGTGGTTTTTAAAACATTTTGAGATCTTTGGAATGTACCAAGAAGAGTATTCAGCACACTACATGGGGAGGGCTGAGGTGGAGAAAACTGGAAAATGTGTATTAAAATGGGATATTGGGATTTTCTAACCTACTGCAGTCAGCGTTAGGATAAATACCCTCAGATTCGACAGCTCTATAATCAGAAAGTCAGTGAAGTGAACTGACCAGAAGCATCATGTCCCTTGCAGTTGTGCAGTTTGCCAATGTTTGGACAGGGAAAAGTCGAGTTAGGGAAAAATTGTACCAGTTTATGTCATTTTACAGTGTAGAAAGCTTTTCATTCTTCCTTTTGTCCCATGTCTGAGATTCCACTGGAATCAGGGGTCTAGTGGTGGGACCACCATCCATCCACAGAGATGGAGTATCAGATGTGTAATTTCTGTAGGCAGTAACCACCTTAAGCTGCTTATATTCCCTCCTCTGGGACCCCTCTGAGCAAAGTCTGGAGCAGGACGGTTTTTATCAGTAGACTGAAACTACTTATCAGTGAATGCTGAGTGTGGTGGAGGGACAAAGTCATGAAGGCTGTGTGTGCACTGTTGGACCTGAGTGTATTTATTGAAGAATGTGGCCAAAATTAGAGGGACTGTAATAAGAATAAGAACATCTGTTGTGACTGCAGTCCTCCAAATCAGGATTAATAATGTTTTCTGAAAATATCTGTGAATTACTAAAAACAGAAGATTCTTTAACAATTTAATTTAGCATTAGTATCTTAAGGATGCCTTGGTAACAACACTACAGCTACTTTTCTAATGATTTCAGTGGAAGAATATTACAAAGCTTTAGTATTTTACCTCACCTGGAAGTTAGGCTTTTTGAGTTTGATATCTGCAGAAGTTTCTCTAGTTACAAGCAAGGAGGAAAAAAAGCCTACTGGAGAGCTCAGCATCTCTGTGCCCACTAAAACAAGGACGGGCAGCATTGGGAAATGGAAACTGAGGGACATGGCCAGTGGGCATGGTGGGGGTGGGCTGATGGTTGGACTAGGTGATTGCAGAGGTCTTTTCCAAATCTTTTCCAACCATAGTGATTCTATGATTCTCTGTAACACCTTGAAGTAGGTTTTAAGAGCACATGGATAATATTATGCTTTAATAGCTGCTGCGTGTTTGTGATAGGGAAAAAAAGGGGAAAGTATATTCCAAAGTGAAACAGCATGGACTCTTACATGTGGAGGAGATTCCTGACTGCTTCTGGATTACCACAGAATTTGGTCCACATTTTATAGTTTATAGAATGATAGAATCACCAAGGTTGGAAAAGACCCACAGGATCACCCAGTCCAACCATCCACCTGTCACTAATATCTCTCACTAACCCATGTCCCTCAACACAACATCCAAACGTTCTTTGAACACCTCCAGGCTCGGTGACTCCACCACCTCCCCAGGCAGCCCATTCCAATGCCTGACCACTCTTTCAGAAAAGCAGTATTTCCTCACATTCAGCCTGAATCTCCCCTGGTGCAGCCTGAAGCAATTCCCTCTAGTCCTACCACCAGTTACACGAGACAAGAGGCTGACTCCCAACTCACTACAACCTCCATTCAGGTAGTTACAGAGAGCAATAAGGTCTTTCCTGGGCCTCCTCTTCTCCAGGCTGAACATTCCCAGCTCCTTCAGCCGCTCCTCATAAGGCCTGTGCTCCAGACCCCTTACCAGCTTTGCTGCCCTTCTTTGAATCCGCTCCATGGCCTCAAAGTCTTTCTTGCAGTGAGGGGCCCAAAACTGGACACAGTACTCGAGGTGCGGCCTCACCAGAGCTGAGTATAGGGGGACAATCACTGCCCTGTTCCTGCTGGCAACACTGTTTTTGATGCAAGCCAGGATGTCATTGGCTTTCTTGGCCACCCGGGCACACTGCTGGCTCACGTTCAGCCAAGCATCAATCAAGACCCCCGGGGCCATTTCCTTTACACAGTCTTCTAGCCACTCTGCCCCAAGCCTGTAGCTGTGAATGATCCACAGTTTTCCTGTTAAGGAATGTTATACTAGACTTGGCTGACACTAAAGTACTTTTGTTACTCTCTTAAGTTTTGAGAGTAACAAACTGAGCCATTACTATCAGAAAGTTTGCCATTTTCAGATATGGCTAAATGGTGACTGGAAACAGGACCTCTGTACTACTGCTTCCTGTTCTTGCCACTGTTGATCATGAGCTTATTCTTTTGCACTTGGAGACTTTTTTTTTTCTCTCTTCTGCTTCCTGCTTCTTTGCGTTGCTCCATTTCCAGTTTGAATGCATATATTTGAATACTCTGTCTATCATGTTGTCTTGTGCCATTTGAGGTAGCTGGCAAAGCTCCTGCCAGCTCCACAAGCATAGGCGTCAGGAATTGTAGACTTAGGCTGATAGGTGTTGCTAGATGGTGATGTTTAGTTTGTACTTGGACACACAGCATTAAGTTGGAGACCTTGTTCTACCTGGGATGCTCTGGCACTCAGTGGGGGTAGCAGCAGCTATGGGAGATGGTGTCATAGAGGTCTTTTCCAACCTTAATGATTCTATGATTATATGATCACCTAGTCCAATTGTAAGCCAGTCCCCACCATGCCCACTGCCCATGTCCCTCAGTGCCACATCCAGGTGGTCGCTGAACACTTCCAGGGATGGTGACTTCACCACCTCCCTGGGCAGCCTGTGCCATTGCTCTTTCTGAGAACTTATTCTTGCTAACATCCAACCTGAACCTCTCCTGGTGCAACTTCAGGCCATTCCCTCATGTTCTATCTCCGTAACTTGGGAGAAGAGGCCAAGCCCCACCTCACCGTGACCTCCTCTCAGGCGGCTGTGGAGTGTGATGAGGTTTTCCTCAGGGCTGACAACAGCAGGACTAGGGGAAATGGATCCAAGTTGAGGGAGGGAAGATTTAGGTTGGATGTTAGGGGGAAGTTCTTTACAAGGAGAGTGGTTAGGCCCTGGAACGGGCTGCCCAGGGAGGTTGTGGATGCCCCGTCCTTGGACGTGTTCAAGGCCAGGTTGGACGGGGTCCTGGGCAACCTGATCTGAATGTGTATGTTTGGTGGCCCTGCTAGGCAGGGGGGTTGGAACTACATGATCCTTGAGGTCCCTTCCAACCCGGGTGATTCTGTGATTCTGTGATTCCCCTGAGCCTTCTCTTCTCTGGACTGAACAATCCCAGTTCCCTCAGCTGCTCCCAGTAAGACTCGTGCTCCAGACTTTCTGGACCAGCAGCTGTACACCAGGTGGACCTGTCTAAGGCATCCCCTGAGATAACAGAAATCTGTCTTTAGGCACTGGGCTGTGCCCTTAACAAAGATGAATGGTGTAAGACTCCTTGGCTGCGAGGGCAAGACCATATCAAAAGTGATGTAAGTATTTAACCAGGTACTTATTTGATTTCCACTTCTCTGTGAAACAGCACTACCCTGTATTTCCATTAGATAGTGATGTTTGAGGTTTTTGGTGTTTCAAAGTCAAGTGTTTGTAAAAGGGCATCCAGATATACCTTCTGATTGACCATTCTGCTAAGCACGTTGGGTAGGACACCTTGTGGATGTTGGGTCTGGCTATTTGGTCTGCTAATGTTAAGTGTGTGTATGCTCTTTTCCTTTCCAGTGCTGTGACAAGAGCTTTTATTTGACAGAAAATGTCATGTATATATCCTTCCTCTTGAATTTAGTGGAATTTTTATTAAAATATTCATTTAGTATGAAGTAATTTAAAATTTATGTAGGATTTGAGAGTCTATTTCTTAATTAAAAAATTTAAAAATCCCACAAAACAAGCAAACGTAACCACCAAAAAAAACAAACAATCCAATCTCCAAGTTTACCTACCAATCATTTTTGGTAGGTAAACAAAGGCAGAGACAACTTAAATACAGGAATCACAACTACAGATTTCACCATTCTAAAGACTTATGTGGATAGTAATTTAACTGTAAGTGCTGAGCACAGGCAGCCAACAACCCAGCTTGAGCACAAGGTCTTATCTGAGATGATTCCTCTTCCAAAACAGTTCTCATTTAGTTTCAAGATTGGATGTTTTATTGTAAAAGCTGCCCAGGAGCCTAAGGGAAATAGATTTTATTCAACCAGAAGTAATAGTCTTCATTCAATTTTTGTTGCGTTCTTGATCTTTAAATCAAAGTCACTTATTTTCATTTCAGGGAGTCATTTCACCCCCAGCAGGGAACAGCATTGCTTGACGGACACCAAATTTCCCCACACCATTCCTGAGATATGTCATGTCAGTCAAGCACACTTAGGGCTGTGCTGAATCATCAGAACTGCTGATAAATCAGAAAGTAAAAACTTCAGAAACTTTGCTGTGACTAGAGACAGAAGAAGGAACAAGTGCCTTCATCTGTGCCTCCAAACACTGCAATTAGACTATCTGTCTTAAATGGCAGGGCGTGCTACGTGCAGGAGCATTCTGTTGTTCTGATGGAGTTTGTATATAACTAATACATACAATACATATAGGCTGTTCTAAAATTGAATTATTGGACTTTGAGTGCAGGAACTAAGAAGGTCATGGACAGCAGGGTCACAGGCATCTGAAAAAACCCTTGTGGTGTGTATGCCCGTTCAGTGATCTCTGTTTTGTACCTGATGCGCTATATCTAAGCACTTACAGTAAAATCACAGTATAATGTAGATATTTATTAGCATTGGTTGAAAATTACGTACTCTATCCCAGACAACTGTTC